GGGGGATGGGGGGTGAACCCTGGCAGGCATGGGGGATGGGGGGTGAACCCTGGCAGGCATGGGGGATGGGGGGTGAACGAGAGGGGATGCTGGCCCCATCTTGTCCCCAGCCCTGTCATCCCCCCAGTGGGAAGAGGTGCCTAGAAGCCCACGGTTGTCATGTGACTCTTTCGCGTGGACTAGGGGGTGATGGGACAGAGACATTACATCCATTGTTCATTTGTCCAGACCTTTGTGGAGTGCTATGTGTCAGAAAGCAGGGCAGGGGCCTCCGTGATAGTAACACTATAGGAATGAAGAGGGCTGACATTCCGAATGCTGAGGCTCCCGGAAGGGTGTCAGGGACTTTAACACAGTGTGCTAATCCTCACACCCTCACACACCCCCCAGCCCTACCTCCCCAATTCTCATCTCCTAGGGTTTCACAGAGGAAGAAACCGAGGTCGTCCTAAACTGGAGCCATTTGGCTAAAGTCACAGGCTTCAAAACAGGGTTGAATTCAAGCCCTAGATTCCGGCACCCAGGTGGGCCTTTCCCCCACCGGGCCCAGTGGGCAGCTCCCGGGGGTGCTGTGGAAGTGTTTACCACGGGCTTGGTGTCCAGCAGCTGAGCCTGCCTGTGACCACAGCCCACCTGACCTTGCTAACAAGTCAGGTGGATGGGAAATGGAAGGGAGGGGACAGAGTTACAAAGCGAGTCTCTGGTTCAGTCTAGAGCTAGACTTCCTGGGTTTGAATCCCAGCTCTCTTATGAGAGACCTGTGACCCCAGGCAAGTTGCTCAGAGTCTCTGTGCCGCTGTTTCCCATGTGCAGAGTGGGAATTATCATAGGAACTGCCTCACAGGATTGTGAGGATTAAATCAGAAGCTCAGCGAAGCATCTGAACAGAGTTTGGTGGGTGGTTTCTGTTTTGTTATTTTGAAACAGGGTCTCCGGCTGTCACCCAGGCTGGAGTGCCGTGATGCATTCAAGGTTCACTGCAGCCTCGATCTCCTGGGCTCCAGCGATCCTCCCGCCTCCACCTCCTGAGCAGCTGGGACTTATTTACCACTACACCCAGCTAACTTTTTGTTGAGATGGGGTCTCCCTCTGTTACCCACACTGGTCTTGAATTCCTGGGTTCCATCAATCTTCCTGCCTCAGCCTCCCAAAGTGCTGGGATTACAGGCATGAGCCACTGCACCCGGCCAGCTTGGAGTAGTAAGCACTCATAGGTCCCAGCTCTTGTCCCCACTGAAGAATGAGCAAGTGTCCAGGGGAATGGCAGGATGCAGACAGGAAAGTAGGAGACCAGAGGAGAGGCATGGCCTGGGTGCTGGCCCTGGACATACCTCTGGAGCCTTCCCGGTCCTCACAATGGGGGAGCAGAGGCCATGTGGGTGCAGAGCCTGAAGCACCGCTGTAGCAGGCCGCACTGCCCGGCCCACCCAGACTGCTCCCAGGCACTTGGCAGGGCACGAGGGAGGCAGGGCATCCCAGAGCTGCTGGGAAGTGACCCAGGAACACTGCGTCTCCAGGAGCTCCAGGGCCAGGCAAGTCCGCCTGGAGGCCAGCCCCTGAAGCTGAGGAGGGCATGGCAAGAAGCATTTTAATGTCTTTTAAACACAGAGCTGGGAGGAGAATACGTGACCTTTGTCCATTCCTGCCTGGAGCCGCTGAAGTGTGAGTTAATAAGTACAGGAAGAGGTGGGCTGAGCCTGCGGGGGAAGAGCTGTGCCCTAGGAGGGAGCTTTGGCCCGGGGGGCCTAGGCCCCCATAGTCTCCTCTGCTAACAGCATCCCATTTCACTTTCAAAAGTCACCCTCCTGGTGCTGCTAGCCGGTCACCATAGTTACCTGTAATGACAGGGATGGCCTGACATTCCTGATGCCATGTCCTGTTTTCAGCCACACCCTGCGGGATCGTCCCCAACCTTGGGGTCAAACCACCTGTTACATTTTAAGCAAAATGCTCTCCAGTGGTTCCCCAACTGGGGTCCCCAGGCTTGCAGTGGCAGCATTGCCTGGGCGCTCCGTAGAGATGCCACGTTTTCAGGCTGCCCCGGCCCTACTGGATCAGCAATGCAGGCCAGCCGTGATCTGCTTCACAAGCCCCCAGGGGTTCTGATGTGCACTCTGAGGAGAGTCCTCGTAACTCCAGCGGAGATGGAAAGGTGCGAGGCCTGATGGGGGGACGGGAGCGCAGCCGGGCTGAGCAGAGTGGGGCCTGGGTCCAGCTCTGTCAGTCACTGTTTAGCTGGGACTCCTCCTGTGCCTGTTTCATTTGGAAACTGAACACCACAGTGCATCCGTCAATTGATATTCTCAGGACTGGTGTGAAAATCAGCAAGATGCCTCAGACCAGAATTCTGGCAGAGTGTGAAGTTCATCAGCCAGGAATGCCAAGAGCCTCTGTACCCCACTCTTCACCAGTGGCCTGTGACCTTCTGGAAAATGGCAAGGTCTTCTTGGCAGCTCATGATAAGGCAGGGTAATGGCACCAGGGTTGGAGAACCACATATAGAAAGTGGAACAGGCTGCTGTGCCTGAGCCAGGTCCCATGCCCCAGGGGTTTTCCACTTTTGCCAATGAATAATGGGCTCTGACTGAAAAGGGGGGTGACGTCACCTCCTGTGCATTTCCCAGTCCACAGTAGGAGGCAGGGCAGGTGACCATCGCAGCATTTATTTCGGCCCAGCTGCTTCACTCACATCATCTCCATTAACTCTCATGGCACCTCTGCCAGGCAGTTATTTATTTTTTTCTATAGTTTTGAATACAGCCCGGCAGTTCTTAATTCATAAACGAAAAGACTGAGGCAGGAAGTGACCTGCTCAAGGGGGCCAGGGGCAGAGCTGGGATTCCAATTCAGGTATCTGAGATCCAGAGCACGCTGTGGCATCTCAGGTCCAAGGGGGTGGGCCACAGAGTCACTGCATAGTAGCACTCGGGAGGTATCACAGAACGCAATGGTAAACAACTTTTTAGTAAAAAGTAAAGCTTCAAAATGTGGCCTATCCATATAACAGAATATTATTTAGCCTTAGGAAGGAAATTAAAAATTTTAAAAATGCAGGTGAACATGTGTTTAAAGAAAAATTTTCAAAAGAAATTGTGATATATACTGTGACATGGATGAACCTCAAGGACATTTAAGCAAAACAAGCCAGTCACAGAAAGCCAAATACTGTATGATCCACATATGCGAGGTACCTAAATAGTCAAATTCAGAGAGACAGGAAGTAGAATGGTGGCTGCCAGGGGCCTGGCGGCGGGAGGAGTGGAGTTACTCCTGATGGGGACAGAGTTTGTTTCACTAGTGAAGAGCCCTAGAGAGCACCGTGATGGTGAAGTTCACACAATGACCTGGGTATATTTACCACCACGGAACATCATACTTACAGACGGTTAAGATGGCAAATCTTGTGTTATGTGTACTTTGCCTCAATTTTAAGAATTGAAGGAAAAAAGGGCTTCAAAGAAGTGGCTGTGGAGCCCACCTGGTCTCAGCAGCTCTCCAGCTCATCTCAGGATTGGAGGCCGACCTTTCTCCTGCTTCCACCTTTTCTGGGCGCTGTTCTCACTGCTCAGTTGAGGAAATGGAGCCCAGATGAGGGAGGCCCCTCCTCCCGCAGCCCCACAAGTGTGGCTGGGATTCCAGCCCATGCGTCTCATCCCCACCTTGTCACTGCACACACGGCACAGCAACCCACTCCCAGGGGACTCCATCAGGTACATTTCCCCAGGTTGATCTCTTTTTAAAAATTTATATTAATACATATTTCTTGAGATGGGGTATTATCACTCTGTCACCCAGGCTGGAGTGCAGTGGCTCATTCTCAGCTCATTGTAGCCTCTGCCTCCCGGGCTCAAGTGATTCTCCCACCTCAGCCTCCTGGGTAGCTGGAATTACAGGCCCACCACGACGACACTGGGCTAGTTTTTGTATTTTTAGTAGAGACGGGGTTTTGCCATGTTGCCCAGGTTGGTCTTAAACTCCTGAGCTCAAGTGATCCGCCCGCCTTGTCATCCCAGAATGCAGGGATTACAAAGGTTGACCTCTTGATGTCACGAGGGGAAAGAGCTCTCCTGATGTACTCCTCCTGGATCCTTTATCCAAACGGCTGTGTTCTGATGGCAGGGAGAGATCAGCTGTCTGCAGGGCATGGTGGTGATACAGACATCATCAAGCACAACGCTGAATTAAGTCTTTTATTCTAGGGCAAACTCAAAAGGGTTTTTTTTTTGTTTTCTTTTTTAGCAAATCCTAGCACATTATTAACAAAAAAATCTGTACATTTGCCATGATACACTTGAAAGTGAAACAAATAAGATATAAATACAGATATGGATGTAACATGAAAAAGCCCAAAAAAACCCCCAAAAAACAAAAAAACCCCTCCCAATCTGGGGGTGTGGGGACCATGCGTGTGAACACAGTGCCAACAAAACGATTTTGGTGGCTGATATTTTTCAGAGCATTTTTTAAATTTCCAAACATCATTGTTAGCAAAGTCCTGGTGGGATTCTACAAAGTTCTTATTTGCTGACCTTTAAAGTGTAACATTATGCTTGATAAATAAAGGGTGGCAGGGAAAGAAAAAGACTGATGAGACAATGAAGTCAGTCGCATTACCTGCACAGGGTGGTAAGCTAGTGAGGCGCATAGAAAAGGCAGGCCCGTGGCATCCGCCGCAGGTCCGGGAAGCACACACAGTGCACTTGAAGGAAGCTGCGTGCCCCGAGGACCGGCCGCACCCTGCCCAGACCCTGGCTGCAGGGGAGGCAGCAGCTTGCAGGAAGCAGGAAGTCAGACTGCCCGGCCCACAGTGGAGCAGCAGGGGTCCCAGGGCCCTGGCCAGTCAGGTAGACAGGGAGGCAGAGACAGGCTTAGGTGCTCTGCTCTTCTGTGTTCTGTTTTTCATTGGAACAGGGGCCCTGCAGGGAGGCGGCGGCAAGGCAAGGCAGCTGCAGCTGTCAGGGTCTGGGGGGCGAAGGTGGGCTCGGCACCCTCCCAGTGAGGTGGTGGCGGCATGCGAGTCTCCTCGGCGCGGAGGCAGCAGTTTTCAGATTGAGGCCAAGAGACCTGTGACGTGATTGTATCTCTCTCTAAGTCAGGAGACTGAAGATTGGGCAAGTGACATTCGAGGCTAGCCCTTGGTGAGTACTATGAGGGCGTCCAGCAATGTTCGAGATCTTTTCTAAGTACACTGGGACCTGGGGGGCCTTCTGGGAGTCAAAGAGCTCAAGGAGAAGGGTCCTTCTAACTGCATTAGGCATAAAGGAACTCATGGATAACCTAGGCTGACACACATACCTACAACAGAGGGATCAACAAAAGACTCCCTAACTCACTTGTAGAGTGTAAAAGAGAAATACCATTCATGACATACTAACAAACAAACAGTGTTTAGCAACGAAAGACCTGGTCCTGCTATATTTTGAGCCAAAGCCAGTCAGTGATACCCAATCCCTTGAAATGTACCTCTCAAGTTCCTTAAACAGCAGCATTGAGGTACCACACACGTGTAAGGCGCGCGCGCACACACACACACACAAACACACACACACACACACACACACACACACACACACACACACACACACACACGGGTCAGTTCCCTGGCTTTATTGTTCCTGGGCATTATTGGGCCTTCATTTTCAGTGCATGTTTCCAAATACAATGTTAGTCTTTCCCAGCTTCCTACAGCCAATCCAGAGGGCCAGGGCAGAGGGGTCTGTGGAAATGACGGTGAGAATCACATGCTCTGGCTCTCAGCCTCTGCTTTCAGTGCTAGTAGTTGCGGTGGGCTCTGCACCGGAATAGCAAATACCTTATTAGAATTAATCTCAAAAGAAGCATTTTCCTTACGGAAAAATCAGTTCAATTTATAGGATCTAATACAACAGTAAGACACAATAGAAGTCCTCCTGATTAAGAATTTCCATTTGGCTTAAGAATTTTAATCAAAATTTATTTAACCAGACTCCAAACCTCTAGTTACTTTTATTGGAGTGATTAGGTTCTAAAGATGCTTTTAAAGGGGGCCTACTGGTTCCTTGAGGAAGGAAGAGAGACTCTAAATGTGTGTGTGTGTTTTTAAAGTGTGTTTCTAATCCTGTTTTAAAGTGTGTTTCTAATCCTGCAATCTGCAGAAAAATTATTTTTTCCTTAAACAGTGACTATTTCATCAGCAGACATTCAAGGAACTACTTCAGTTTATAAAATTTAAAAACTTGTGATATCCAGTCTCTCTAGGCTCTTCTTTGCTCTTAATCGCACATTAAACGGAGAACTAAGATGGTACAGATGCCATTTCCCAGATTAACTGAGACTATGTTAGAACTGAACAGCTTGGGGAGAGCGTCAGGGAGAGGAAAGAAGTTGGTGCTAAATGCGAATCACCAAGTAGCCCAGGGATGACGGTCCTGGCAGAACCCCCGTGACAACAGTGTTCCCAAGGACCTCAGCAGTGAAGATGAAAGACTTTTCTTTGATCTTCTGTGCTTCGTGAACTGCCATCTCAGGCATCCCTAAATGATGCCATACATTTATCTTATTTTAGTGTCCAGATTTAAACTTGAAGAATTCCTTTGCATGGAAGCTCTGGGGTAGGGACCTCTGTGGAGTTGATTAGGGAGGGCTGGAAGATTGAGGGGATGCACTTCTGATTCTACGCTAAAAGCCAGGGCGGTTGGCCTCCAGTCTGGATAAGACAAGCGAAATTCCCAGCGTTTGTTAAAAGGCCGTCTTCAGACTGTTCTTGCCAAGACTTGATTCCCATTTTTAGTAGGTCTCAGAACGTAACTTAAAGACGTATCACCTTTCATGGTGTCGGCTGTGAACGGGGCCCCACACAGACCATACTCACAAGAAAACAGGCTAAGGAGGAGGAACACAAAGTAACACCCCACCCCACCCCCAAATCTGTTATTAACTGAAAAAAAAAATGCTACTTTCTACCAAGTAGTGGCCAGAGCGCTCTGATTTTTAGAAGCTGCACCCCACACGCACGGCTTCGCCATCTCAGCAGGCTGTACAAGACGTGTTTCAGTATGGCTCTTTTCTGCTCTATTCCTTTTGTTTTGTATGAAGACTGCAATACAGGCCTTGCTTCCTTTACATTCAATACCAGTAAGATTCTACAGGAAAGCTGGAAGGGACCAAAATACTGATTGTAATAAATATTTGTGGGCCTCCTTGTACTGACTGGGCAGCCGATGAAGGGGTAGGGAGAGGTCTCTGAGAGGCACCACCGATTGCTTCTAGGTCTACACAAGAGACAGGCGCTGCTATTAGCTGTGCGTGGAGACATCGGAGGAGGAGCTGCTGTTGCTGTTGGTGGTCTGGGCCCTCTTTATGTACAAGTTTAGTAGCTTCATCTGAAAAGAGAAGTTGAAAATGAATTAGCAGGAAGAAAAGCTATCAGAAAGTAGAAAACAGGAAAAAGAATCACAGGTGACAGTAAGAACACAGCAAGTCCCTTAGTCCCCTTTTTATTCATTATAAAAACACGTTCTGAGTGCCTCCTGCTCATCCAATGCATCTGCCAGGTGCTAGGGCCACAGAGGGAGAAAGGAGGAGAGGGAAAAGCAGTGGGCAATGACAACACCAGGTGTCACAAGCAGGTGGGCCGCGGCAGCTCCTGAGAAACGGATACGAGGGGCAGGGCCACATGTCTCAAGGGCGGCTGCAGCCAAAGGCTCCATCAGAGCCAGGGGAAGAGCAGGGTGACAGCCCCGCTCCACAAGGGTAAAGTGGCTGGACCAAGCTCAGAGGGCAAATCCTCTAACCTTCTCACCTTTAGCCTCTTGTGTAGCTGGGACTACAGGCATGTGCCACACGCCTGGCAGTACTTTAAATGTAAATGTATTAAACTCTTCAATCAAAAGACAGAAATGGGCAGAATGGATAAACATGTGATCCAATTATGCTGTCTATAAGAAATTCACTTTAGATCCAAAGACACAAATGGACTGAAAATGAAAGGATATATAAAGATATCCCACGAAATAGTAACCAAAGAGAGCAAGACTGGGTATACTACTATCAGACAAAACAGACTTTACATCAAAAAAGCTTCTGGAGATAAGACTTTAATACCAAACCCTCAATAATGGATAGAAGAACCAGACAGATGATAAGCAAGGAAACAGAGGACTTAACGCAATAAACCAACTTGATCTGACAGATGCATATGAAAGTCAACAACAGAACATACATTCTTCTCAAGGGACACATTAAGCTTCAATAGATTTTAAAAGATAGCATACAAAGTATCTTTCTCAACCACAACGAAATGAAGAAATCAATAATAGAAGGAAAACTAAAAAATTCATAAATTTGTAAAAATTGAGTAACATATTCTTAAACAACCAATGGGTAAAGGAGAGATCCTAAGGTAAACTAGAAAACATGTTTAAAAAAAAACTCACTCTGGCCCAGGCTGGAGTGCAGTGGCACAATCTTGGCTCACTGCAGTCCTGACCTCCCAGGCTTAGATGATCCTCCCATCTTAGCTTCCTGACTAGTTGGGACCACAGGTGCACACCACTATGCCCAGCTAATTTTTGTATTTTTGTGTGATGTGGTTTTGCCATGTTGCCTAGGCTGCTCCTGAAGTCCTGGGCTCAAGCGATCCTCCGGCCTCGGCTTCCCAAAGTGCTGGGATTACTACTGTGAGCCACACCTGGCCTTAGAAAACATTTTGAGACAAATGAAAATGAAAAGACAACTTTCAGGAGGCAGCAAAAGCAGTGCTGAAGAGGAAAATTTATAGTTATAAATGCTTCAATTAAAAAAGAAAGTTCCCGGCTGGGCGCGGTGGCTCACGCCTGTAATCCCAGCACTTTGGGAGGCTGAGGCGGGTGGATCACGAGGTCAAGAGATCGAGACCATCCTGGTCAACATGCTGAAACCCCGTCTCTACTAAAAATACAAAAAAATCAGCTGGGCATGGTGGCATGTGCCTGTAATCCCAGCTGCTCAGGAGGCTGAGGCAGGAGAATTGCCACGAACCCAGGAGGCGGAGGTTGCGGTGAGCCGAGATTGCGCCATTGCACTCCAGCCTGGGTAACAAGAGCGAAACTCTGTCTCAAAAAAAAAAAAAAAGAAAGTTCTCTAATCAACAACCTAAACTTTATACCTTAAGGAACTCGAAAAAAAGAACCAAATCTAAAGCTAGCAGGAGAAAACAATAAAGATTAGAGCAGAGATAAACAAAATAGAGAATAGAAAAATAGAGAAAAATGGCTGGGCCTGCTCACACCTAAAATCTCAGCACTGTAGGGGCTGAGGTGGGAGAATCGTGTGAAACCAGTTCAAGACCAGACTGGCAACATAGTGAGACCCTATCTCTACAAAAAATAAAAACATTAGCTGTGATTATGTGTGCCTGTAATCCCAGCCACTCCGGGAGGATGGCTTGAGTCCAGGAGGCCAAGGGTGCCAGTGAGTCATATTGTGCCACTGCGCTCCAGCCTGGGTGAAAACACACACACACACACACACACACACAC